TCAACTCAGTGTATTGACAACTAGCTGAGCGACTGCAACGAGTATCCTAAAGCTGAGGAGAAAAGAAAGGAAGAAGAAAAAGAAGAAAGTTCGAGAACAGAACACGAGCTTTTAAAGGGAGCTCCGGAGCCGATGTGGATCCCCGGTCGAGAGCGGAGCCGAGACCCACACGGGCCCAGCCCGTTACATCCAGAGTGGAGAGGAGGTTCGGATTCTGGCTTTCAAACATAGCTTTCTGCTTTTTCCTGGGTATATCGTGGTATTCCTTGGGTATGTGTTTGCTTAATACCGGGTTCTCGCTTAGAAGCATCCAAACAAGGCCTCTCAAGACTGCAATGCCATTGTTGAGGCGTGGGTCTGCGTTCTGACAGAAGAAGAAGGCAAATGCGCAGTTTCGACTTCTTAGCCGATCTTTCAGATGACGAACAAGACCTATCATCAGCATTGTCTTGCCCTTGCCTGGATCCCCTTTGACCCATAGCAGTCTGGCGTTTTCCCGTTCCTGCCAATCTTTGAACTCGTTATTTTCAAGGATCCACTGAAAGCATTTTGGTAGTAAGCCGCCCTTTTCGCGCTCTATTCGGGACATGTCAGTGCTGGGGTTGCTTTCATAGAGGTCTCCCAAGAAGAGTCTCCGCAGGTCAGCTTCTAACCTGTTAGTCGGCCCTATACCTCATCTCACACAGGCCAAGACGGATAATTACTAACGTTTCGGTCCACTCGAACGTATGTTCCCGTTTTGAATATCTATCATACCACACGATTAATTAATCAAAATAAACTATCGGATCGTCAAATGTCAGTTCTCACATACTCAAGTTCCCTCCAACTGAAAAAGACCCAGAGCTTATTATACCCTGCCCAGACAATTTTTGGCTGCCTGATTCGTAGCGAGCAGCTGAGGCACCTTGGCCTGGTGAGGCGGGAGTTGTGTCATCGAAAGATTCTCCCGGGGCGATGTAAGAGAGTAGCTCCTTGGCGGCCGCCGCCGCGGCAGCGGCAGCATAGTGCTGCCAGTTGTCATTCTTGTGAGAGTCGGCATAGTCGGAAATGCCCCGGATGACAATACATGGGAATTCGGTCGCGATCCCGGCCGCCTCCATCTCGAAACAGAGTATGTCGCCTATTTTGGCTGCAGTCGCGTTTCTCTTTGCTGCACTTCTCATCACTCTATCCCCGGAAGCTATCAGTCCGTAGTGCACCTCAGGGCCCGCAAATTGTCGAGGCAGCCTGCTGATGCGTTTGGCCCTGATGCAGTCGCCACACGAAGCGCGACCCGCGGCATGCGGGTAGTCTGAATCGAAAAGGATATCTTGTACAGCGGACGGACGTTGGTATACAGACAGTCGTGATCCCTTTTGTAGCATTTGGAACAAGAACTCTTCCACCTTGTTCTCCATCACCAAGTGATCGGACCGCATCTGCTCGACCGCGTTCCTCAACATCGTCGGCGGAGGAGATAGGAATCCCTTCAACTGGAAGGTGTCCATGGTATCTTTTCCAAGGTCGTATTGGATTACACCGCCATTTTGGTCTTGGGGCATGCTGATGACAACATCGCCCAGGCGGATGTCGTGCCCTTCGCTGGGCACACCTCCTCCGATGCCGACGAGAAATCGCCACTTGATGGAAGGGAAAGTGCGGGCCATGTTCGTAGCCGTGATTGCGGCAGCGCCCTTTCCCTGGTTGCCGGGAAGGCACGCAAGAGCGACGTTGTGGCCGCTAAGCTCACCGAGGACGTACATGTTCGGATCCCCTTGCTTGGGGGGGAGGCGGGAATGTTCGTGATCCAGCATGTATCTGACCGCGCTCATCTCGAAGCCGATGGCACAGATCACAGCGACGGTGTAGTCTTCGTGTCGTCTCAGGGCTCTGGGCGGGTTCAGCATTGTGAGTGATCGGTAAGCCGCCGATTGCAAGGGTAGCGGAAACTTCGCAGTCGTGTAGCTAGTGTGAGCTCGACTTGCCTGGCACAAACTCGCTCCGGATGTTGCGATGCTCGGGACAGCAGAGGTCATTGAGAAGGCGGCGTGGGTTGACTACAGGGCCCTGAACTGTCTTCCATCTCGTCGGCCGGGGAGGGCTGACAGCGCCATTCTGCACAGCAAACTTCGCTCATATCCCAGTGGTAAGCATCCAAAGGCTGCGGCATGGACCTTAATGCATGGCGTTTCGAATCGCATTGAGGGAACCAATCACTTCCAGCTCCCGCGACGAATAGAAATGATAGGGAGGGCAAAGAGCGCTGTCAGTGGCCTGTCGGTGAGACATTGGTTTTTAGCTTTTCCAGCTTCGAGGCACGGGGGGTCGTACCTGTATTGGCTCCCAATTATGACAGGGGAAGGCAACCCGGTCGCGGGTTGCGCACAAAGCCTTGAGGAACGAAGAAAGGCATTTTATAAACATGGCACGGCATTTAGAATGGTGGAGCGTTCACATGTAGCAACTAAAGGGCCATAATGAGGTTGAGGGACCTGCATGAATCGGGAGGCATTTGGGGTAGGCTTAGCGGGGGAATCCCGGTTACAGTGCCGCGGAGTGGACAAATGGAATGCCGCTACGTGTAGGGCAAAAAAAGCAAGCAGAGGCGGCAGACGCAGAAACCATACGGTAGAAGGGTGGAAAAGACGCCAGATGGGCATCCGCTACTGGGAGACGTTTTCTGTGTTCACGAGCGTTGTTCGATTACACCAAATCATGGCGGCAGTACCTATCCGTTTCGAATTCTACTGCAATGGCGGGGAGACAACATTGCGGTTTGTGCACGACATACCACAGCACCTTGTTCGCCAAAGCCAGTTGAGCGGGGAAGGAGGGGAATACGGCGATCGATTCATGGGCGCAGTGGCGCCCATTCTGAAGGCACGAGCACAGGCCTGCCAGGATGCATCGAGTGCATGGTGCGAAAACTGTGGATGCCGAGCAACAAACATATTACAACACGTCATGTCCCGGTTGAATAAGTTCAACGATCCGGCCATCGGGGTTTACGTCTGCGCGGTGTGCGAGAAAGGAACGTGTGAGACGGAGGTACGGCAAGAGTTGGCGGATATCATGGGGGAAATCGGGGGGAATGCAGAGTTTGGAACAGATCCCTGCAGGGAGCTTCTCTATTGCAGGATATGTGGCATCACGACGGGGGTTAGGAAGTGCGGAGGATGTTTGACAGTGGGTTATTGCAACAAGGACCACCAGAGGGCGGATTGGAAGTCTCATAAAACAGTCTGCAAGCGGTATAGGCCATAGTCGGGCAGCGAAAAGTAGCAGATTGCTCGGCACGGCAAAGGCACGTGGTAAGAGGAGTACGATGCATTCCAATGTATTGAAGTGATATCTTAGGAAAGTGTGGCTTGTCCTTGTTTTGTTCCTCATCAATGTGCTAAACTGCTTCCGGGTATTTTCTAGGGGGCTGGCGGTTGCGAAGTGGTCTCGGCATGTCGATTGTTGAGATGTCAGGCGAGCCATGGTCAGTGGCACTGCTGGCGTCAGGGGGTTCCGCAGCGGAGGCGTCGTTTCCGTCGTCTTCGCCGTCGTCGCCGACGTCATCATCTTCGCCGTCGTCGAGACTGTCCTGAGAGCAGGGTTCGTCGCCATCACGGGCGACAAAGACGGTGGAAGGTGCTGGCGGAGGGCGCGGCTTCTTGGTTGGGGTATCGTGAAGGGCGGGAAGTGGCCGCTTGGTTGGAATGCCCGCGGGGGCAGGGGGTAGAGACTTGGGTGTGACAGGAGCGCCCCCTTCGGCCGGGCCACTGCGCTTCTTGGTCGTGGTGAAGCGCGCCATGGCGTCGTCATACTCGGAAGCACCCGAAACAGAGCGCTTTGGCGTCACGGGCGTGAACAGTGCCGCCGGCGATTGATTGAAGCTGGCCTTGTCGAGAAAGGTCCAGGTATCGGGAACGACAATGAAGATGTAGTCCTGTTCCAAGGCGGGGGGGTTCCGCATATGTTTATGGGCCAGGAGGCCGGCAACCTTCCCTGTGCAGGTGAAGGGCGCGCCAGGTTGAAACTGGGAATCACGTCTCTGAGCCATCTTCTTGCAGAGCGACGTCCAGGGATTAGCGTGAACGGGAAAGATGACAAACACTTGGAAAGGGTGGAAGCCTTTAAATGGCGTTTGTTCGGGCTTGCCGGGTGAGAGAAAGGTGGAGAGCTGACGAAGCCACAGCATTTCAGTTGCGATTCATCGAACGCAGAGGCGGCATCTGCTTGGAGGAGTTCGAGTCCGGAGCCGACGACCGGGCCGGTGAAGGAGACGACGGGCATGATGGTGGGGTACGCAGAGGACGAGCCGAGACGGCGAGGCGACACTCTTGATAGAAAATGGTCAAAGGGCCATATCTCTGACGGGCGGCAGAAGGGACCTACGGTTGGAAACCGTGATCGCGGACAACAAATGTCGGGACAGTGTATTGGCTGATGTTCTCACCATCGGACTCCAGGCCGTCCCGTTGTTCGAGTTCCCATGTCAAGGCGTAGGGGTGAACACGGCCGGTCATGAGGAACCACTGGTTTGCCCACTCGGACGCGTTTATCTGCTGGTTGTACAAGGAAATGTTGAGGCTGAAGAAGATGGACGGCGAGAGGGGTTCAGCGTCTCCTAGGATTGGGGCGTACTCTGGCGCGGACAGCCACTGGGGTCTCGGGAGTTGGATCTTGGCGAGGGTCTCGGCATTGAGCCCCTTAACGTGATGGCCATCTGGGTAGGCGAACCTGTTGGGGGCCGCGGCTGGTTGAACAAAGGCCATCATGGACATATCTCCGCCGACATACTTCTGGCTTTCCAAGGGCTTCCGCCCGAGGGCGCCCATGTTCTGATCTTCCTGAACGGCAGCCATTGTATGAAACGGCGCGAGGTGACTGTGCTGGGAGGCATGGTGCGGCTGGTAGTCCACGTCTTTAAGGGTAGGCGGTACAGATTGAAGCGAAGAGGTGTGGGCGAGAGCGTTTACTCAGATCGATAAAAAGGCGGTGGAGGAGTTGGGGAAATGTCTCACAATGGAAATTTATGCATGTGTGCGTTGTTTGTCTCTGTGCTTCGGTCATGGTTGAAGGCACCCTGAGTGGGACGGTGCCTATTGGACGATGACCTGGGGCCTTTCCCTGTCGAGTACGGAACTGAGCGATTGACGAACGCCGGTGTCGCAGCAGATGGTAAGAAGAAAGAAGGAATTTTGAGAGCAACTTATGTCGGTAGGCCACTGACGCTGCCCAATCGACAGTTGTCGTATCGTAACGGAAAAGGTTCCGAGACAAACGTTGCTTTTGCTACCAGGAAGGTCGGCGCAAGACATATTTTGCAACGGTTCAGGGCCCGGGGTTCGTTGGAGAACCGGTGGATCTTGTGCCTGGTAAGCTCATGGTATGAAGCAAGTTGCAGATAAAGGCATGTGGTTGAGAACCGTGCTATTGGGCTGGAAGCCGTTCGCGTCCTCGAGCGTCGAGGAAGTCTTCCGCGAGATACCGCATCCTAATATCGCTTGCCACCGGCAGATGAGGTGAACGATGAACGCGGGGAAAAGGCTGTTGTTACCAAAGGTGGCCAGTGACGCGGCACAGGATGCGAGCCAGACGGCAGTGGACTCGGACGAGGTTGCACGGGTGCCACTTCCCCCTTGGTGGCAATTGAGGGGAGTGCCCAAGAGACAGCAGCGAGGACGGCCATCAGCACCGTCGTCAAGGCGTGGAGCCAGGGAAAGCGCAACAGGCACGTTTCGGTATATTAGGCCGAACGGGCCATTGCCAAACAGCCTGCAAGCCGAGGGAACCCCATCACGCGACGGAAGAAACGCCGTGGAAGATGCCCCCAGTGCCTCTGACAGAGCGCAGCGGGCTACAGATCAATCCAGGGTGAACAACAAGCCTCCGATAGCCCAGTTTCGGCCCATAGGCAGCTCTTCGCTGCCGAGTGCGATACCCGAAGAGTATTGGTCGAGCAGTGCCGCGAGGATTTTTCGACGAATTGAACCGAGAGACCCATCGCGCGTTCAGATACCTTACTCTGGGATATCGGGAGATGTGCCCATTGGCGTCGGACCAATGGGGAGGGTGGTGCAGACGACTCTCCCATTCAAGGTGTCGAAGCAGGCCAACACTAAAGCTGGGAGGAAGGAGGTATCGCGGCGGCCCTTGGCAAGGCGAAAGACACTAATGGATTCGAGGAACGGTTCTGAAGGGCCGGGGGAGCGGATGGGACAGCCTTTGAATTTGGACATGGGAGTGAACCTAGTGCGACCTCCCGAGCCGGAGGCAGCGGGCCTGGACTCGGCACAAACGGAGCCTGTGGTCGGTGTGGAAGGCACGGTCGTCGGATGCAGTGTACGGGCCCACGCTGCAAAGGCCGGTAAGGCGACGAGACGGTCGAGGCAGCGAAGACGAGCAGGCCCATGGCCCAATGCCGCAGAGACTGGCAGAACGACAAGGAAACCGGAGGGGGAAAAGCGAAGACGCCATGTTGACGATGAAGGCCCTCCGGGAAAACGTCCTCGGACAAATGTGAGAAGGCTATGGACGGCCATCGAACAGGCCGATGCCGTGGCCAGCGTAATGCGCCATCTCGAGGAGCAGCATACCTTGTCGGAGCGGCTTTCCAGGGAACAGACATGGTGTGCGCCAATCCCACACGAAAGGCAGGTTTCAACGGCGCGAGAGTTCTACCAAGCGTTCCACGATAGAACAACGTTGCCCATTCACACATGCCTTGTGTGTTATCGCAAACGAGCGGAGCGAGAGCTCCGGCGCGTGGCGTGGGAGGAGTGGCAATTGTTAAGGCCACCAGCGCAAGGCCGGTCTCCCTTCACGTGCCCGTCGTGCTTTGATGAAGGCTCCTCCGTGCCTGTGTGTGGGGAGTGCGAACGGCATTTGCGTCGCGACAGTTTGTCTCCGGCGGGCCGCCTTCACGGTCGACTCGGCTGCGAGCACATGTTCCCGGACGAGCTAAAAGGGTTGTCGCCAATCGAGGAGAAGCTGATCGCGCCGAATTCCTGCTATGGACTTTTTACGCGCCACGCCGTCTCGACCGGGCAGAGGCAGAGTCTACGGTATCCCAGGCATATCAAGGGCCATGTGACGGTCTTCCCGAACAACGTACAAGAGCTGGTGACGGACGTGTTGCCACATCCGCTTCTGAAGGTCATGGACGAGATCTGTGTCTCCTGGCAAGGGCCGGAAAAGCCGACACCCAAGGACCTGTCGGCATTGTTGTCAGTCCGACGACGCGTCGTCGAGAGGGCGCTTGTCTGGTTGAAGGGCCACAACCCTCACTACGCCAACATCAGGATTGATACGGTGGAGATGGACAGTTGGGGACAGCCGGTGGACGGCGTCCCGGAAGCCGTATATGGACGCTTGGAGCGGCACGAACCTTCGCCGTGGGAAAAGACGCGAACGGCACATGTTGTGCCCCCTGCAGAGCGGGGCCTAGACGGCGAAGGACCGGTGGCAATCGAGGAGATTTTGGCGTCCCTCACCAACGGGCTAGACCCGGGAGAAGGGGAGGCCGACGGCGCTGCGCCAGGCCACAATACCAATGCCGCAGGTGATGCGCGTGCCGACAATGCCGGGGAGGTGGTGGTGGACGAGGTGACGTCGTCCGGCATGTTTCCTCTGGATGGCGTGCCAGATGTAGCGGATGCAGAGAAGCTGCGGTTCGCATGTCACGCGGTGGGCAGCGCCGCGGGAGCCGCCCGCGCCGGTCCTTCGGCGACGATCCAGTTATCGGCCGAAGGATCTTCGGCAACGACGGATGGCGCCGAGGCGTTTATTCGCGTCTCGCGTGGAGACGACTTTGCCGACTCGTCGGAAGTGGCATTCTTCGCCAAGACGTTTCCGACGCTGCTGCCTTTTGGGCTTGGGGGCCCTAAGTTGGCGGAAGAGGACCTAGTCGGCGGTCCGGGGCCCGTGAGCGCCGGGACGGTATCGCATCCCGAGGCAGCGGAGGGTGAGGCTGGAGCCGGGTCCCTTATTGCGTCCAGGAACCTCTATGTGCGGGCATGGGCCGACATCGTGCTCCGCCGGCATGGCGGCCGATTCGCAACGCATCACGTCTTTGCATTCCTCGTGTTCAATATGGGCGTGAGGTCAAGAAATCGTCGGGCGAGTATGCTCAGCGTGGCGAGGAAGAATTTCCACAACGTCGAGCGAATAGTTCAGTCAATGACGCCCGAGAGATTAGCAGCGGCAAGCACGGAGCTCGAGAAGACGGGTAAGACGAACGATGCCGGTGTCAAGGAGCTGCTGAGAAGCATATCGCTGTATGGGCACCGGCAGCCCATGTCCAGGGAAGGGCGTCTGACAACTCGTCGGAAGATTCAGTCCAATATCGTCGTGGGAGGCGTACCTGTGATCTGGTTCACGGTAAATCCGAACGACATCACCAACCCGGTCAAGCTGCGGCTGGCGGCGTACCGCACACACGACCCACGGGCGGCCGAGGAGCTGCTGGAAAGCCTGGAGAATTCGTTCAAGCGGACGCGGCTGGCCATATCCGATCCGACAAGCTCAGCCATTTTCTTCCACCGCGAAATGGCGCTCTTCTTTGACGAGTACGTCAACGTTGGAGGCGAGTCCGTGTTCGGACGGATCAGCCACTACTTCGGTGCCATCGAGACAAATGAGCGAGGAGCGCTCCACGTCCATGGCTTGCTCTGGCTCCAAGGCAACGCCCAGCTGGCATCGCCCTTCGGCGGTGCCGGTAGCGAGGGCAATGACGAGTATAGGGATCGCATCGTTCGCTATGTCGATAGCGTCTTCTCCGAGGTAAGGTCACGGTATAGCGGATCGGCCGGATCGGCCGGGGTGGTGGTGCGCGATGGTGCGCCTAGGGTTTGGCTGACAGACCGCGCAGGATCTTGACGCGGAGGCCTTTTGCGCTGTTCAGGCAGAGAGATCAGTGGTGGCGGATATCTCGGACAAATTGGCCAACAGGGAACAGTTCTCATCGGCTTTCGAGGAGGAAGCAAACTTCTGTGCCGGCGCGACGCAAATCCACACCCACAGCGCGACGTGCGTCAAGTACTCGCTCGGCAAAACGAAGCAAAAGGGCGGCCTGTGCCGCTTCAAGGCGCCGTGGAAACTGGTGGAGAAGACATGTCTTACAGACGACGGTATCCTCAGGATTCGGCGAAGCCACCCTATGGTGAACCGGTGGAACAAGGCCATGGCCGTGGGCCTGCGGCACAACCACGACATCTCATTCATAGCGACGCAGCAGAAGACCATGGCCCTCATCTACTACGTGACGAATTACGCCACGAAGGTCGAGGACCCGATATGGAAGAGAGCGGTGACGGCGGCCGAGCTGTTGCCAACGATGAGCCGCGACGACGCGACCAATGAAAAGGAAGGAGCTGGTCGAGGAGCCGGGACGCTCGAGCGTGCCAACGAAAACAGAACACGACAGTTCCTCATGAAGGTTGCGAACCGGGTCTTCACCGAGCGGTCCCTGTCGCAGGTGGAAGTCGTTGCTCATCTCCTGGGGTATCCGTCGGAGTTTTCAAGCAGTAGCGCCTGGGCATACTTGAACACGTCAGTGCTCTATTGGCACATATTCCGACGATGGCGGCACCTGCGACGGGCAAGCGGCGCCACGGCCAGCGAGGATGCAGCAGTGGACGAGTCCATCGTCGTCGAGGAGGCCGGCCATCGACTGGGTCATGTGGAGGCCTATCATCATCGTGGCAGGCTCTTGGCTCACCTCTGCCTGTACGACTACGTCTCGACCGTGCGGCTGAAACGGCACGATGCCGAGAGGGAGGGGACTACGGCAGCCTGGGGGGAGGTGCGCTTCGAGGAGTCATGGCCAGCGAGCAGGCAGTGGATCCAGGTGCTCAGGCGCCCC